AAAAAAAAAAAAAAAAAATTGGTGAGAATTGATATTCCACAAAATCAAGAAAAATTTTTCCATGGAAAAAAAGTGTATCAATCAAGGCAAAAGTGGAAGTTGGAATTTGTTTTCCATTTTTCATGGGAAATAATAGCTTATCAAACAGGTCATTAGTAACAAAATAAAAATTTAAGACAAATAGAGTTTTTCATTGATAATAATTTTTTTAAAAATATATTATATCATGTATAAAAAAATAGTAAAAGAGATAATCATCCTACGTGACATACGTGTGGCTGTTAATGATTTGATTCATTCGTAGAACAATTATGATAGCGAGTGACTGCAAAAACATTATCGTTAAAAAAACTCAACATTACTAAATATTTTCTTAAATTTATTTTTATCGACGGAAATTTTGTCATTAAATAAGTTAATAAAAACATAAATATTGAATACTAATGTTAGAACGTTTTGACTGTAATGAAATAATAGTTAAGAGAATAAACTTATCCGACATTAATATTATAATTCAAAATATAAATGATATCTTTAGTTACTGATCTAATCTTCCTTCCATGGATTTAAAATAATAACAATAATAGTAAAAGATTAAAACTGGGCAATGTCATTTGTACCGTCATAGTTGACCGAAATGGTTGACAATCACTCACAATGGTGGCCCCCACAGTGAGTTAAAAAAAAAAAAAAAATTACCCACCCACCCCTGCGTGTGAGAGATTGTCAATAAACTCATCCCCTCCCCCCTGTACAACTAGCACAGTCCATTAAAACTTCCATTCGGTGATTCCAACAACTTTTCTTATCGGAAATCAATGACTGCAGTACTATTGACGATATTTCATTTGATAATATTGTTGATGATCATCGATTATACGAGTTTCAATAATTCGGTTAAATCACCTACAATAATACCGTGATCATTTTTTGCTCCATTTAGTTATTATTTTTCAAAATGTCTCTCCCAAAAGTTTTGCATAAGAGCATCACTAAAATATTCGTTAAATGTAAAATAAAAATGTTCTATATTTTATAGAGTTAAGCCTTGAAATGAAGCTCCATTAAACTAAAAATGTTCTTAAAATTTAAAGAGTCTAATGTACTTTTAATTTGTTTGGTTCTCATTATTTTTAAAATGCATTTTTCTTTTTCATATTTTCAACCACGCATTTTTTAATAAAATAATATTACACGCAAATTCAAAACGTTTTCTAATTTTTTAACCACACATTAATCTCCATCATAATACTATTTCAAAATACATTTTAATAGAAAAGATGGGGGGTTCTATAAGTTGCACATTTCAATGTTTAATCTATTGCATTATTCAAATTATCTTTAAATTTATAGACCATTGATATTTAAAAATACATTTTTTAATTAAAAATGACGAAAATAATAAATATTTTTTTAGGAAGTAAAATAAAGAGTGTGTTGGGATTTATAAAGAATTTTACTCCCGTTCAAGCCCTATTTTGATAAGAAATCTATTTTATAATAGTGATTTTTGTGAGAATGTGAGGTTAAAAAGGAAGGAATTTTTTTTTATTTGTGTGCAAAATTATTTTATGAAAGAATGTGGGGTCAAACATAAGCTAAATTTAAAAAAATATTATTGCATTGTATAAGATGTTCTTAAAAAATAAAGAATATCTTGAAAATATCTAAGATCCCTAAATTATACGAGTTCCGTTTGCAATTCTGTTTGCTCTGTTTAAAACAAAACGCTTTAATTTT